GGTCAAAAACAAACACATTGCAGTCCTAATACACACAGACTTGTTTCTTCATCACAGTCCACAGGGTTACGATGGGGTTTAAGTCAGGACTTTGGGGAGACCAGTCTGAAACCTTGATTCTAGCCTGATTTAGCCTTTTCTTTACCACTTCTGATGAGTGTTTTGGGGGTAGTTATCTTGTTGGAACACATAACTTTATCCACGATCCAACCTTCTGACTGATGATTGTAGTTTTTCCTAAAGACTGTGGAGGTAATCCTCCTCCTTCATTATTAAAGCACCTGTTCCACGGGCGCCACAGTGGCCTCAGAGCATGATGCTGCCGCCGCCATGCTTGGTGGTAGGTTTGAGGTTCTTGTGGTTAAGGGCCTCACCTTCTCTCCTCCAAACATTTGTAGTCAATGTGACCAAACAGCATTTTTTTTTTGTTTCGTCTTACCACTCGTTTGTCTAGAAGGCCTTTTCTTCATCCATGTAATCAGCAGCAAACTTCACCCAAGCTTTAATGCGTTGCTTCCTTAGAAAGAGCTGCTTTCTTGCACCGAGGTGCAAAACTGATGATTCAAGTTGCTGTACAGATATTTTTGACCCGGCAGATTTACTCATATTTCCAGAAGATCTATAATCAGAGCCAAAATGCATGATTGTTTTATTGTGACTAAGGTGCATGGGTTTCAGTGACTACATCAAAGCAAAGGAGTCAGTGATAACTCAAGACTGCCACGATAATCACCGTCTTTACAGGGGGATGTAACCTTTTGTTTACAGCTGCATAGATATGAACTTACCCAGTGTTAAGAACAGATTCTGCATGCATCGACTTCAAGTTTTTAGTCAGCGTCAATAGCAAACTAGGGTTTAAAGCGTCAAGGCTGATAAGGAAGCTGAAGCCAAAGCAGCTCTATGAGGGGTCATTACCTGGTGAGAACCTCTATTGGTTTGTCAGGGTGGACAAGCTTTCCACAATTCACACTGGAAACAAAACAAGGAGGGAGAGAGAATGACAAAATCATATGAAATCAAATGGCAACTTAAAAATTAAACCCAATCATGCAACCTGAAATAAATAATGACAGAAATCACATTAGGAATAAAAAAAGACAAGAATAACAGAACAAGTGAATGAATGTAGTGAAAACAGGACGTTTTTGTGGTCAAACCGAAAAACTCTTTGTTCTCCTAAACAAGACGATATCAGTGCCACCCTGCAGGCAATCTGATTATTAATTTAAAGCCAAGCTATTGTTCCATCAGCTTTCTCAGACACGCCTTTGATCATCCAATCAGCCCACCATCGTTCAGAGCCTCCCATTAGCCCAGCATACCCCAACATTTGCTTTTCTTTTTCTTTGTCTCTTATTCTACAAGGCTTTCAGCCAGCCTTACACGTCTGCCTATTATCATTTTCTTCTGCTTTTCCATCTTCCCATCCTTCCTTTTTGCTGTTTGTACAATCATACAACAGAAGATTTGCAAGAGAAATCTGTTAATAATTATTGCAGAGGCAGACTGAGGAAGAAGAAAGAAGGAAGGAAACAAAATGGAGTGTCAGACCGGGTCAGAGCTGAGCTGGACCAGCTTGACATTTTGTACTCCTCAGACAGTGAACTTGTTAGAATGGGGAGAGCAGCTATTAACAAATCAACAGAACAAGATGCTGGTGAGCTGAATATATCACAAAACAGGACAAAAAGAAGGAAACTACAGACGTTAATGAAAGCAAGCGCTGCAGGTGTCTGGTACATCCTATTCAGATGAGAGGACGAAAACGTCCCCCAGGGGACAAAAAGCTGCTTTCAGGATGCAGATTTTAGGAATCTCTTAATTTTAATTTCTCAGGGAGAGACGTCTGAAGTCTGAAGAGCTTTGGAGCTCTGGATGGATGGATGGATGGATGGATGGATGGATGGATGGATGGATGGATGGATGGATGGATGGATGGATGGATGGATGGATGGATGGATGGAT